ATATAAGAACAATGCTTCGGAGACACTTATGACCGAAAACCAGTAACCTACGAATATCCTCAACTCTTACTGGCCATGTTTCACACCAGTAAAGTGGAACAGAACAATCCGTTGCGCAGTATATTCATCCTTTGGTTAACAAACGGATATCTCACCCATGCCACAAATGGCAAATGTCATTCAAACCTTCTATATCCATGCTGAGATCTAATCTTCTCTTATATGCTTTCGATTTGTGACTAATCAGATGTGGATGTTTTCGGCCAGTTATTCTTCCTCTCTCATTATGTAATCCATATGACGCATGAATTTCAATGTGACTTATTATTTCCTTAAGGTGCAACAACGACCATTTTACAAAAAAAAACCGATAAGTATATGCAATTAGCCTATATAAGTAGTGAGTTAAAACAAATCGAAAAAACGTTTACTGTTATTTTTTAACAGAGTAAGTTTCACTCAAAATCTAACGCTTTATATATCAGATATTCACAGATCATTTAAACCATAACATCGAATACAGATAAAAAAAAGGCAAAGACTATGATTGTATGTAGCGAAGAGAGAGAATATCAATGATAATTCTGTACACAACTTACCATAGTATCTTGACCTTTCTTATTCTGTAATGCTACACATATAGGTACTTCAGCTGATGTTGACAGAACAGCTTGTAACGGAATCAATGTTTGTCCCATAAATCTAAATTAAAAGGGAACAAATATTATCAACACATATATATATTTATCATAATGTTTCATTGTTAACAATGAAATATGAGATGATGGGGAAAATTTGTAGTAGTTCAGGTGGATAGTTGTCGTGGAGTTTCGTTACAACAGGACAGTACGAGTAAGATAATACGAAGCATACTTTCTGGATAGTCAATATGTTTTTTGATTATGACAGATTAGGTCTCGTATGCTGTTACGTGTATGGGGCGGATATCACTTCCTGGTTGTCTATACCGTGGAAGGGGGTTACTTGAGGCATCTGAGAAGGAAGTTAGATTAGAGTTGATCTTAACAACCTGTAACAACCGGACCGCAAAGCCCAAAATACAACTTTTCGAGACCGGTCATGCACAGCATTTTTATTGGAAATTTCTCACTTGTTAGCTCCGGTTTACAAAAGGTCTTACCACTAGAGACGGAAATCAGTCAGATAAGGTAAGGTTTGTCAGTTCTAGGGTCGACCTTTTCTAACCCCTTCATTCCTTGTGAGAAGGCAGTATCAATGCAGATGCTGCTTGTCCGAGGAAAACACCCTACTGTTGCTACACACCCCTATAGTCAGCAGTATGACTTCACCCTCAGACCTTGAGTTGCTGCTCTGCATCTTAATGTTCTTTAGTCGACAGGCAAACGGTACCAAACAGATACATAAGTAATGACTTTGCCAATCGTGTTATCCATAAGTAAATTGTCATTAGTTCACAGTTGGAGGGTACAAACGAAATTATTTAACAATCGACTGAGAAGTTTCTATTTATGAAGATGAAAACACTGTTCTCTCTTGATAGAAGTTCGACTTGTAACGGATAGAAAGTACTATTTATCTGCGTGGTAAAACTTATTTCGATTAATTTTCACATCGAAATATTTGTAGAGGTTAGTTACAATAGTTGAGTTTGAGTAAGCTGATATGAAGCATACTTTCTGGAAAGTCAGTATGTTTTTTTGACTATGACCAATTTGGTCTGGTGTCCTGTTACATGTATGAGGGCGGATGTCACTTGCCGGCTGCTCACACCGTGGAAGGGTGTTTATTGAGGAACATGAAAAGGAAAGTAGATTAGCGTTGGTCCTAACAACCTGGGAGCGTGATCGCGGAGCACAAGGGACAATTGCTTGAGGCCGATCATGTACAGCCTTTTCATGGGAAGATTGTATCGCGTTAGCTTCGCTCTTCAGATTAACTTACGAGCTGATACGGAAATCCGTGAGGTAAGGCGGGGTGTGATATCTTTAATGTAGACCTTTTCTAAAACCTTCCTTCCTTTAGATCCCGGTTGTCCGAGGGAAACGCCTTACTGTTGTCACACTCCTCTACAGTCAGCAGTACGACTTTGCCTCACACCTTGGGTAGCCGCTTTTAGTCTCATCGTTCTCCAATCGACCTGCCTGACATGATAGAAACTTCCAGCCAATATAGCTTATCTGAGCCATTACGATAGGCAATCCCGACGCCACCTTAAGGCAGCGGCTACGGTCTGGGGAAAACAGTCACTAAGACCTGTTCTGTCAGAGGTTATAGATAGCCATAACAATTGTCATATACATGATATATATATATATATATATATATTGCTTACTTGTCTGGTGTAACTTTATCAAAATCCATCACTTTAATCAATACACTGTCTGAAGGAACCAGTGGTTTTCCTTTCAAATCAATAACTATTTCCTATTTGATTTCATTGAAAGGAATTATTTATTATTTACCTCATCCCAAACTGGATTTAAATCATCATCTTTCACTTTGGTTTTCTGTTTATGTCCTATAAAACAAAGAAAAATTAGGTAAATTTTAAAAAAAGTTACATTATGGGGTTGTGAAGATTGTTTAAGTTACACATTTTTGAAACCATGAATCGATCAATGTTAGACCACCGACATTAGAAACCTAGAAGCACTGGACGGCCGTTTCGTCCTGGTATGGGACTCCTCAGCAGTGCGCATCCACGACAACTGCATCTCACAGGATTCGAACCCAGGACCTTCGGTATTGTAGGCGAACGCCTAACTATCGGACCACTGAGCCGGCATCTAACGGTGTTAATGTCTAACTTTGATCAATTCACGGTTTTGTGCAAACCTCATGCACAGTCTTCGGTAGTTACTGTCTACACCCGAACAGGTTGAACTTCACTGGTCACGAATCCTGCGGGGTGCAGGAGTCGTGGATGCGCACTGCTGAGGAGTCCCACACCAGGACGAAACGGCCGTCCAGTGCTTCCAGGTTTCTAATGGTAGTCTAACTGATCGATGCATGGTTTCAAAAAAACCTAAAAAATAAGTGTTTTTTCAATTTTTTTTCAAAAAGATGATGTAACTCTTCAAATGTAACTAGGTGTGTATAAGTAGTGACACATGTCTGAACTTGTTCATGTTTTATTGAACAAGATTTCAGAGGAAAAAAACAACCTCTATTCATTAATTTATTTTCAATAAAGATTGTAAAATTCAACTTGATATGAACAACTATCATCAAAATTATTCAACTGGTGAAATAGTATTTTCGATTTAGTTATTCAATGTTCAAGGATTTTTTTTAAAAACAAAATGGCGCTCACATTAGAATAATTCAATGTTAAATTAGCAAGAATCTGAATGTATCGATAACGTTGAACAATTATTATTCACTATGTTATACAATATCAGATGACTGACTCATTGATTTGAGTCAGTCATAGAAAAAATCTGGAAGCTAACAATTCGATTTAAAACAGATTTGTTTTAAGTAGATAGATAGTCAGTCAAATGAATTAAGTTCAATATCAGTGTTTTCAATCAAACTGTTTGTACTATTGAACAAAAGATATGATCATTTATACGCAGAGTATACTACTTATATAAGTTATACGAATCAAATTGAGAGTAGTAGTATAGTCAAAATGATAAAGGTTAGTAAAATGAAAATCAACAGTAAGTAGTATGTTTAGTTCATGAATGAATTATCTAGTGAACTATTATAGAATGTTGATGAGTTCGTCAAGCTACTGGTTCAATCTGTAATTTGTCTAACTCACCAAAATTATCAGTATTGGGGGGTCGTATAGACTGTTGATTTGAAATCATGAATTTATCAGTGTTAGACTCATAACACTGAATTCTTAAAAGCACTAGACGGCGGTTTCGTCTTAGTATGAAACTCTTCAACAATGAGCATCCACAATCACGTATGGGGGGAACTGAAGCCAGGATCTTCAGTCTAGTGCAAGAACTCTGAGTCAGCACTTGGTGGTATCAATTTTTAATTTCAATCAGTACATGGTATTACGCAACCATCTGCTGCTATTCTCAGTAAGTAACGGCTTTAAACTCGACATGGATAGAGATCTCCATTTTTGACAGCTTCTCATTAAAATCTCCAAGATTACTTTATCTTTCTACTTTTACTTACTTTGTTAAACATTCAATATTATTTTCAAAATTATTTATAAAAATAGTATCATCTTATTATTGTAAATCGTACATATATATTAGTGTACAGGTGTCGTGCAATACTAATTATTATGAAATATTTCTCCATTGTATGTCGTTATCATTCTATTTAATTAACTAAAGCGTATTATTACGGACGTAACTAACCTTCCGTCGGACATGGATGTCTACATTAATCGAGCAACAAACAAGTGGTAATCAACGACCTATTTGTTTAATCTTTAATGTTGATTAGATGACCATCAAATGATCTCGTATAACAAGGAGTGGTGAGAATCGGTCCTCCTTCTCAAAATCTCCTCACATGAGAACACGGACACATAACCAGTTGTAGGAAAGTCCTACTCATTATCTTCTCATGCCTGAGGCATTGTTTACGAACTTGAAAGAATGAAAAGCTTAAACGGAGTTGATGGCTAGGGAGAATCTACATCAGAGAGTTTGGAAGCCTGATTCCAAACTAATGTTAAATATGGGCTTCACCGTCTTGACGGAACAAATGACTTGGAAAACCCAATATAGGTCATCAACTACTATGTGTTTTCATCTGTTAACATTGCTCTACTTCCTTATAGACTAGACTATTGAGTCAATGTCACGAAGTATGGTCCCCTTTAGAAAACCACTTGCATGAGTTTGGCTGATCGAACAGTAGTTCAGCCTACTGACGAATTCAATAATCTGTGTGGAGAATAAATATTTATGTACCACATTGTAACAATAATTATGATCGTGAACGGAAAATAAAATTACTGATTATATTGTCTAAATAAATAATAATTTCGGTATAGTAAATATTACTTTAATGTTAGTAGTATATTTTGATAAATATTAAGTTTTATGTGATATAAACTAAAAAATACAGTCTGCTATTTGTGGTTTTCAATTAATATTCTCATATTAGGATTAGTTATCCCCTTTTTAAAACGATTAAGTAATCATTAGGCATGTAAGATCAGCTAATATTTACAATGAACTGGGAAATAAAAATAGAATGTTAACAGATTTTAAATTATTAACTATAAATTGTTTACGTTCTAACAAACTGATCGTTCATATATTAATTGAAATCATCAATCAATCAATGTTAGATAATCATTAGAAACCTGGAAGCACTGGACGGCCGTTTCGACCTAGTATGGGACGAAATCAGCAATACGCAACCACGACTTCTGCACTTCGCAGGATTCGACACCAGGAGCTTCGGTCTTGTGTGCGAACGCTTCACCTCTGGACCGTTGAGCCAGTACCTAACGGTGTTAATATCTAACTTTGATCAATTCACGGTTTTGAGCAAACCTTATACACTATCTTCGGTAGTTACTGTCTACATTCGGACAGGCTGAACTTCACTGGTCATGACTTCTCACTAGAACATGGATGAAACGGTCATCCAGTGCTTCCAAGTTTCTAATGGTGGTTTTAACAATGATTGATTCATGATTTCAATCAGTAACTAGACAATCTTCACTTTCCCCTTTAATGCATTCATATACTGACATAATTTTGTTAGAAAAGTTGATTTCGTTGTTAACTTATGATTGTGCCCAACATATTTATACACAAAAATAAATATATCTGAGAGGTGTATATAGAAGGCAGCTAACTCATTCACTTTATTAGATATATATATGTATGTACGTGATATTCGTAATGGGTTGATGGCATTTGGGTTAACACCTGTTACGCATGAACGTGAACATGTCATTTTGATATACTTGAATTATTACGAGTTCACCCCTTAGTCGGGAAACGAGAGTGAGGATCAAGGATCCAGTGACACGACATTCTACTCTAATTCTAGTGTCCCAATCCCCATTGAGTGAAAGAAGAAGAAGTAGAATCTGTATTCTACAAGCATCCAGAAAGTACGAGGTCCAAGTGCAGAAGAGGATTAAGGATCCGGGTCACAAAACGTTCCAGATAATGCTTATTTATACAGTTAGGTTGAATAAGAAACAGCATTGAAGTCTGTGACATTGAAAGTTAAGACGACCAACAGGAAACAACATTGGAGTGCGTGACACTGATATCTAGTACGACCGTAAAATTGACCGATAGGAATTAACCAATAGGAACTGACCAATAATTCTTTTAGGATATTGGTTGAATATCCAAACATACCAAACCTAGAAATACTTATGTTTCATCCTAGTGTACAACAACGCAACATTATTGACTTATAATACATCAGGAAGTTAATATCGGACCTTACTGGTAACGCAGTAGTCAGTTCAGTCAGTTGCAACGTAGAACTACGTACGTATGTACATAAGTTCAGGTTGCCATACCACATTAGCACAAGGACGCAGATGTCAAATCGAATCCCATAGTGATAAAGATAGTAGAGGTATTAATGGTAGTGAAGAAGACTAGGGTTTGAAGATATTATTCAAGAAGTATAATTAAGTGAAATAAGGTTAGAAAGACAAAGGTAGAGGTCCTGACGAATCCAGAAGATTAGGATTTGAGAGAGCTCAAAGAATGGATACACTTGCGCCATTGCAAACGATTTTGAGCTATGTCATTCAAGGTCTCTAACCATCGGTGACTTTCGTCTCTCGGACCCCAACCAGGTAGTCTACATCTACCAACATGACTCAGTCGACTTGTCACTGACTTCATGGATTTCTGCCATGTTTTGGTCTGGTCGCCCCTAACTTTCTTCCAACCTACTCCTACACCACAAAACATAGCTCGACGAGGCAGTCGGTGGTTAGCCATACGTAACACATGTCCCAACCACCTCAACTGATGAAGTTTCACCACTTCATCTACTGACCTGCCATCCATACCTAGTACTCGTTTCCTAACGACAGCATTGCTTACTCGGTTGTCCCACGATACACGAGCAATGCTTCGAAGACATCTATAATCGAATACGAATAACCTAAGAATGTCTTATACGTTTACCGGAATGTTTCGCATCCATATAATAGGAAAAATAGAACCGCTGCGCAGTACACCCGCCCTTTGGTTAGCGAACGGATATCACGCCCACGCCATAAGTGACGCAAGTTGGCAAAAGCCAGTCGAGCTTTCTGTATCCGCGCTGAGATTTCGTCAATCACCAGGCCATCGGCACTGATGAGACTCCCTAGATAAGTGAAGCGATCAACACGCTCGACTACTTCACTCCCTATCACTTGTTGGTAACGCTGTGAATACTTAATCACCGGAACTGTTGAATATACAATGTGATCCAAGAAGAGCACTTGTATTACTTGAAAATTTTCAGTTGAATGTATTCTGACTCAATGTTAAGTTCACCGTTTTTATACTAATTACACAATGTAGACACTTTTATCAATACAGGTTATAATGTAGCTTAAAC